ATTTTGAACACCTATTACATTAACCTACTGCTTATTTTGTAACGCTGATTTGTTTTTTCATTAAACCAGATGACAGAGGAAATGTAGAGTCTCATGTTTTCAGATCATTTTTTGGTTTAGTCCACATTAATGCTGATACTGTTTGTTTTTCTCTTTTGCAGGAGCCTTTATCTAAAGAGAGGCATCTATGAACAGCCCTCTCCATCACTATATCCCTGCAAAAGGCGACGTATTTGAAGCTGAATCAGAGATGCAAGCCACTCGGAGGAATGAATCCCAGTTGTTAGTTTTAAAGCCTCAACATTGAGGGGAACTCATGCTGAACCCCATCCAGGAAGCCTACACGCTGCCACATGGTGGACTGATCCTGGAACAGCACTCTTCTCTATTTAAATCGATGAGGACGTTTGATGTCCGTGGAATGTGTATGTTGATTCAGTCCTCAAAAAGTTGTATAGAATTGTATGCTTAAAAAAAAAATCGATCCATACAATTGTATTTTCACAGTGAAACTTAAAAGTCAGTCTTGTTTTCTGCCTTGTGAGGTGTTTGTCTACTTTTCTCAAGAACATTAAAGAGGTGCTGTTATTGCCAAGAATGTAAAGCTGTCACCTAGACTAAGCTATTGTCTCCTTTTATCTGAGATGCTCTGTTTTTGTTTTCTTTCATGCTGTTTTTGAAGTATATATTTGAGTGGAGCCATAACAAAGACCAATTTTGATGTCAGATGATATATTGTTGCTTTGTGGTTACCGTCTGGAGCATGGTGACAAAAGCATCTGCAGAAAAAAAAACTGTGCAGACACATATAATTAGAATGAGAAGAGACACTGAGTGTTGCTGCATTTTTTTTGTGTGATTTTTTTTCCTTTAGTATCAGTGGCTGTACTGTAGTTACTGCCATGCTGTTTTTAGTATATAGTGCTATGAACCCAGCTGATATTAAGACACCCAACTATCAGATGAAGAATCCATCTATCCTAGCAAATACGTCGACAGCCCAGAGCAGGAGATCGGCTTACGTCCCACTGATTCCTCCCATCACTGTCTGAATGAGCTCCAGTGTTTCCAGCCTGCCAGGTTTTAAAGGAATCAAAGTCACCCTAATGAGGCTTTTTTTATTTGACAGCAGCCAGTAGAAAAATATTCCTGAGAATCTGTTTTAATGTCACCTTTTTATCCTGTATGGTGCCTCCAAACATTTCCGCAAAGTGGAAGTTTCATCGTTTCTACCGTAGCAGGCCAAAGTATAGCATCATTTCTGACAAAATTCTTCAGTGTCTTTGTTTCTGTGGAGATAAGTTCAAACTTTGAGCTGCATTTTCCTAACAGCTGCTTTGTCATGGAATGCGACAACCTGTTTATTTTATTTGCTGCATGAATAGCTAAAGAGCAGATGGTCCCTCAGTGTTTGATCCCCACCTAACAATGTGATGTGTTGAACCATGTTATGCTGTTTTTCTGGTATTTTTCAAAGCATTCCTCAGTATTAATCGCAGCAAGCAAAGTGTTGTTGTGAAACTGTTTGTGACTAATAAGAATGATAATGAAAAAACGTGAGTTTGTGTTGTTAATAACGTACAGCAGCCTAGATATTCCTTTTTTTCTTCAATTTTCAAGAAAAAGATTTCGATTTCACTATCTAATTTAATTTAAACCTTTCCTTCTAAACTTTTACAATATCCTTTGGAGTTAGAAATTTGACTGCACCAAAAATTGCGTAGCTTTTTATTAATGCAATATATCTGTTACTTAAAGCTACAGTGTGTAACTTTTAGCGACATCTAGCGGTCAGACTGCAGACCGCAGCAACATGAACATCTCAG